AGAGGAGACATCTCAGCACAGCCGTAAGAAAATGGGGTATCTTGTAAGAAGTTAGCAAGTCCCCCTCCTCATGAAAGAGGCTCTGACAGCAATCCAAGTCCGGCTTCCTTTATTCCCCTCTTGCCAAGATTGAAGAATGGTGGGAAGATCACTGAGTGAGCTTAACAGATGGGTTTGTACTTCTCGTATTGCTTCAGGTTGCATTAATCTCTGTGGTGGGTTCTCATTTAGCTGAGAAAGTGTCACCAAAACAAATGAACCGGAGCAGGCTGATATGCTCTCAACAGATGTAGAGAATCTCTTTGGCATATTGCAGATAGAGGCAAGCAGTCGGCATTCTCACTTGCCTGCTCCCTGCAGCCCCTCCAAAACTAATCAAAGATATCACTGGCTGAGTTGGGAGCATAAATGCTTAAAAGCAGCAGACACTTCGAACAGAGAAATGGGTAGAATCAGTCAGGGAGTGTGGACAATGGCAGGGAATTGAAACGATGTAGCAGAGGAGTCCAAGCAGTCAGAGAACAGGGACAGAGGACTGGTCAAAGTACAAAGGAGACATGGCTGGGTGATGGGAGAACTGCCTTAAAGATGGGGATGACTCATTTCTGTCCATGAAACCATCAAATCCCTTGCCAGCATATGCATTCCCATTTCAAGAACTTGCCAGTACTTGTGCTGTTCTTGCATCCTCCCCTGGTTCCTGAACCAACATGGTCCTTGCAGTGCATGAGGTCCAGGAAAGGAGGGCAATGTTTTGCTGAGCTAGCTGACAGTGTCCGTGATGAAAAAAAGGAAAGGATGGAGGAACAGCAAAGGAACCAACAGGGATCTGGTGCATTCAGCAGCCAGTTATTGCTAAAGAGGCAGAGGAGTGCAGAGTAGCACGGGGCAATGTCATATGATGGAAGACACTAAGTACCTCTGTTGAAAGCACTAAAGCAGATTTAGAACAGCCAGAAGTTCCTTAACACTTCCATAAAGCAAAGAGTGAATAAATTTAAGGTTAAAGGAAAGCGAGGAAAACCTCAGGTCATACAAAATTAACTGCAGAAAATCAAGGAATACGAAGTAAATACAATCTACGTTTTGCTTTAATTACTCTGTCCTTAGATGTTCCAACACACCAACCACTACACCTGCTAAGATTTTCTCTTCACAGTTGCTAAAGAAACAGGGAACAGAGCAGACAACTTTGCGAAACCAAAATTGAGCACGCTTCCTTCCCGCTGAAGTTCGTCGTACTCGGTGGGCCTGCTTTAAACCAACGGCCCAGACGACCCGAGCACCCGCCAGGCTCCTGCTGCGCTCCCAGCCAAGGCGTAGCCTTGCCTGTTCCAGTGCTCCGTCACCCTCAGAGGGAAGAAGTTCTTCCTCATGTTCAGACGGAACTTCCTGTGCTTCAGTTTGTGCCCATTGCCCCTTGTCCTGTCGCTGGGCACCACTGGAAAGAGTCTGGCCCAATCCTCCTGACACCCACCCTTCAGATATTTGTAAGCATTGATAAGGTCCCCTCTTAGCCTTCTCTTCTTCAGGCTGAACAAGCCCAGATCCCTCAGCCTCTCCTCGTAGGAGAGATGTTCCAGTACCCTCACCATCCTCGTAGCCCTCCGCTGGACTCTCTCCAGTAAATCTTCATCTTTCTTTACTCACCCCTTGTGGCACTCGGGGGGCCACCGCTGCGCGTGTCAGCAGATGGGCTACAGCACACACCTACGCTGACACTGCCTACCAACACGGCACGGAGAGGAGGGGGGTCACGCACCCCCTCCGCGGCTCTTGCCGACAGCTCCCCCGCTCATCCCTCCACCGCTCCGCCGCTGGCAGCACACGCAGCCACCGCTCCCAGGTCACCACGCGCCGCGAGGCACATTCAGGGAGCAGCACATTCAGATTCACCGCACTACGCTCAGCCGGAGACTGGCTTGATACTGTCTGACAACGCATTTTGCTTTAACGCATAAATTTGATGCAACGTAATTTCCCTTTATATACATACTCTGCTGGGCAGAGCGGCTTTCCCGTTTTCATCCAGCAGACAAAAGGTTTAAACTCCATAAAAGATAGCTGATAAAATTTAAGTTTTAATAAAAATATAGTTCACGTATGTCTGTCTTTCCTTAGGCTGACCTAGTCTGCGATACATTATTTACATAACTGCTGCAATATCTATTTCAAAACCACCCAGACAGCTCTCTCCAGAACTGTAAGCTGCCCTGCCTGTCACCGTGATGGGTAAACAGTGTCACCTTTTCAGGGCCCAATGAATTACAGAGTAGTAGTAAAGTGCACCATCCATCACAGTGGCACTAAGTAGGTTTTTGAAGTAGATCTCAGACCACAAACGCTCACATTTTTACTCACAAATGCTGTTTAGACTGTTACCAGAAAGTAAAAATTGGAAGGCTCATATACAATGGCCGTGTGATGAATGGACATGACAGGTGGTCAAAGAAAATGAGTCTTGCTATTCTACAAATAACCTTGTCAACATGAAAGTAGAGCTGCAGCTCTGCTGGTAGCCAGACTGCAGAAATTTAATGGTTTTATTTGCTTGAACTCCTAGCAAACCCAATATACAAATGAGATACAATGAAGCAGCAGTACTGAAGCATTATTAGCAATTCAACCTGATTATGTGACACACAATAGAAATTTTCTACTAAGGATGTGTCACATTTGAAAGAAAATTATTCAGATTATTAGTAGCTGTTACAAGAATCCCTTTCCACAGGAAAACCCTCATGATTTTGCAATCACAGCCCACTGAAACGTACTTGAAATACATTACCTGTAGTCCCACCGCAAGCAATCAAGGCACCCTCTGATGGCTGAACACAGCAACAGCCACCACCTGCTACTTCTCATTTAAAGTTTGTCTACTTCCATTAGTTTAAATAGTAGAGAGCACCGTGCACGATTGGAAGTTGGGGAGGTTAGATCACTACCAATTTATCCATAGCCTACACAAAAAAGGAAATTTCCCTTTTAGGCAAAACTCTAGATCTAAGGACACTTTGGGTAGAGTTTCTGAAGAATAAACACACATCTGAAGTTTTGTGAGGGTGCTGCGTATCTCAAAGATCGGATTGTAAAACTGTGCACAGCGAGTCATTCTTCAGCTCAGGTACAAGCTTGTCAACACCAAGGTACACCCCTAGTGATGAGTACACACGCAGTGCGCGTGGTCCTCCATTTTACAGAACTCAATCACAGATAAAACTGCTTTGAAATATAACTGAAAGTGGTACATGCGTTGCTGGTAATAACATCAGTGATTCTTCCCAGAACATTGCGTTTCCTGTAATCCGATGAATTTGTTAGCAACATTTATTTTCATGAACTAAATCTCAAAGGCCACAACTGTATTTTTATCTCATTACAGTTACTCTTATTAAGTTACAATGAGAAAATAATATTACACATTGAGTTTCTAAGTGATAAATGTGAGAAGCCAAACCCATTCATTAATACTTTTTACTTGCTCGTGGAAAAGTTTAAGCCTACATCATGCAGGTTAGGATCTACCCTTGCCTACTTCATTTCACCTCCTAACAACAAACTTTAACCTGAAGTTGTTGGGCTGATGGAGCCCCAGAACAGAGGCTGTATGGAGATAACAACCATGAGACTCAATACAGAAAGCAGGCATGTAAGGCACAGAAAAACAGGAGATGGAGAGAATGCTCTCTCCGAAAGGAGAACAAGAACTCCATTCCTTCTCCTTTCTGGAATAAATCCCTCGGACTAAAAAGCTTCAGTGCTTTTAAGAAAGAGAAACCAAAGCTCGTGGACTTGACAATGAAAAACTTAAGGATCTGACTTTCTACCAGACCTTGCATTTCCTACAGTCCGAAGTTCGACATTACATTAATAGTCCATAAAACGGGTCAGTCAGCATCATGCAGCTTTCCCCCTTTTGACTCATCACAAGATTTCACAGTGCATTACATGTTAGCAACAATATTACGGGCAAACACTGTCACAAACAAAAGGAAATACACAACAGGTGCATTTTACTTTTAGAAATACAGTCACTGACATGCTGGAAATATTAAGACATTCACAAAGTGTACCAGTACTTTGGTAGAGGTATCCTCCAAACTCAGAGCCATTCACAATCGGTTCCTATATAGACTATTAGTGTTCTAAGTCACGACAACAAACATATCTTTTACACAATAAAGAAACCAAGACAGGAAAACCCCTGCATTATTGGAATAAGATACAGTATTTTAAAAACATGAAAGACAACACTAATGCAGTTAGCAGTGAAATAGCAATTTTTATATTTCAGAGATTTATAGTATCTCATCTAGGAAAGTAAACAGAAATGATGACCCCTTTGTGCACCTCCAATATATTTGGAAAGCAAATATAGGAAGGCAGCCAGTGAAGACGGTAAAGAGGATAAAATAAGATAATCCAAGATCTTATTTCACTTGGCAAGTAACAAACCCCAACAGGCAGGATCTTTTCACTGACAAAACTCCCGCACAAAAGCTACAGCAAGATAAAAATACAAATTGGGGTTTTCAAGAGGAAACAGAGCAGATGTGTCAAGCTGACCTGCCATAGAAGAAAGTATGCAAGATCCACAACCATAATTCAGGACCTCCAGGTATTAGCCCAGCACACCCGCCGGTCTTACTGCAGAAAGCCTCCTCTTACCCTTCCTACAGCCATCCCTCAAACCAGTAGCACTCACACATCAACAAGGATAAAACGTAGCTCTAGACACAGCTTTCAGATTTTCACACCCAAGCAAAAGATGCCAATTCACAAACTCAGATACTTTTTAACAATAAAAAAAATCATATGAAGCTTTCAGGTCTGACTAATTTTTAAGTTAGAATTGAGATTGGCCACATCGTATTTTACCTAAATATGTTTATTTTAAGGCTGGGCATTTCACCATGTGTACCTTCCCAGCCAAGTCCATCAAAAGCTGATGTTTCCTAACTCCATTTCACCACAAATGACGGGACAAATGGTTGTTTTACCTCAAGAGTTCCTTTGGCGGAGTAAGCTGCATACGAGTACAGGAGGTCTTGGCGATGAAGAGTTTTGGTTTCTCTGTTGCACTGTTGTCCACCAGGATAAAAGCACTCACCGCTGTTTTTCAGAGTTACTGTGTTTGAAGAAAAGCCCGGCAGGTCAAGTAAAACAGAGTAATTTACCAGCCGGACATCTTCAAGGCCTTGGGAACTCCACTGCACCAGAATTTTCACTGCAATGTCTACATCATCTTCTCTAGTGAACTGTAACAAATCTCTGGAAAAAAAAAACCACAAATAAACACAGTTTTAGTTTATTTTCTACTAAGACACTTGTACCTTAATATGCATCAGCTCATAATTTTAGTCATAATGTACCAGCAAACATGCAAACAAAAAAAGTCACCCTGCAAACAAAAAAAGTCACCCTTCATCTTTGTACTAATAATTTCTCACCAATTGTGAGACAAAAGCAAATGCTTTTGGAGAAATAAAAATAAGGAAAAAAAATATTTATAGGAAACATATCAAATTAAAACATAAAGAAACCTGCAGAAATTATCACAATATTTGTTTCAAAATTCATCTCCGCTGCGGATCAAGTTTCCCATATAGCATCAGTTTAACCAACCACTGAATATGAAGAATGCAATCTGAAGTAACATTTCAGGGACTTCAGGGAAGGTGTGATGCTGAAAATTAGTTGTAATTATATGTTTGGCTTAAATTCATCAAGTAAAGCAAATTCGCTGAACAGAATGGAACTGTTCCCCCCAATATTGTGCTAGCTGTCAGAAAGTTTTCCTCAGATTTCCTACCTGCACTGAAGGATTACCTGAGCCAACAGCTTGGCAAGCATACGACACGAGCCTGGAAATTATTTTGGCAGTACCTACCAGACAGGCCAACTGAGAATCCAGAGGGCTTGGTCTGGGCTGGTATCACCGGGCTTGTATCGCTGTTCAACACCTGCTACCAGATGGGCCGCAGGATGAAAACGGTGACGGCGCTGAAGGACCACCCTCCTCCCCAGCAAAATGCCAAGAGATGCCAGATGTAGAGAGTATTTTAAAGATAACTTTAGAGCACAGACGTGCTGAAGGGGTGACCAAAGGCCTTCCCTACTTAGGTAGGCAAGCACTTACGCAAGCAAAGCAGGGCACAAACAAAAAGCACCATTATTCAAATAAAAAGCACTATCCAAATGCAGTACAAAAAGCTTACAGAATATTTGCTGAATTTTGTGATGGTTTTTCTTTTTTGGGTGTTTTGTTGTTTTTTTTTTTTTTCCTGTGAAGCTCTCAGGACTGAGAAACAAGACTAAGGATCAGAGGTATTGATTTCCAAGCGCAGAGATACTGACACTGCCTGAAACTCTTGTTCACAACCTTCTCTTCACAAAAAGGCCAATTATATTGAGATGCTTTAGGGTCCTCAACAGAGCCTTAAAGAATACCCAGGCTGTCTTGCACACATCAAAAGCAATGCTTGAATAATGCACAGACTTTTTAAAACCATTATTGCAAGCAATAGGTATTTGAGAATCCCACCAAGTGCTTTATGGGCACCCCTGCGCTATTCAGAGCCCAGCCGCGCAGCCGCAGGCAGGATGCTCCCAGCTGCAGGTTCCGTCCCGCACTGCTGCCGTCGGGATCTGCACCAACCCCAGGGAGAAGCCTGCCGGGAAAAGCTTAAGACCGAAAGCAAGCACAGCGATTCCCTTCTCCACCCCAACAGAACTATCTTGCGGTTCAACAGACCTCTAAAAAAAGAACACTTACTTGCCTAGATAACATCAAAACCTGAAAAAAGCAAAAATGCCTGTTATAAGTGGTTGTCTTTATGGCTCTAAAATAGTGTGCTGCGTTCAAACGTCTAACACCCATCATCACGTTACATGGGTAAAACAAGTATTCCAACATCCAAAGGATTTCAAAAATATACGAAAATTCTCTGTTTAAAGAAATATTTTGTATCCCAGCCTGCATTGCAACAGCAAGGTTATTCGCACACAACGTCCCAAATCTTTACAAGAACACTGGACTTCACGTTGAAAACTTCAGAGCTCCTGTCAGAAGCAATAACTGTCTTGCAGATTTAATCTTTTTAATTATCGAAAATAAGTCTTCGAGCAGTCTACACAAAACAGACGAGTTAATCCAATCTGTAGTATATTACAAGTTTCCAGTTTCATCTCCTGTGCCTGCTAATGCAATGACATAAACTCGAGCAGTGCAGAAATACAGAAAGTTGTTTGATTAACACAATCATTAACAGAATATTCTTACCTCCCCCAGGTGACAGAAACATTAATAGAGTAAATAATTGCAAGAAACTTCTCCCAGACCAATGAGGTCATGGTACATTGCAACAAGAAGTATTCAGTATCAATAAAAGGAATTAAGCATTAAAAGAAGAATTGCTCCCTTAGTAACAGAAGTAAAGTTACTTTGCACTTCATAATTAAATGAGCATGTCTTTGAAACTTTTGTGACAACATATCTGATTAAGTTAGAGGAATGAGCACACTCACTGTTTACTCCTTAATTTCTTTACAGCATGTTAAAATCAAATTGCAAATTATGAGCACACACCGTATTACAAGAAATCAGCACTTCTTATACTATTTTGATAAATCTTATGAGCGTCACCACCAAGAGTTTCTTTGCAGTTTCTTACAATGACTGACTTGCACTTAGTCTTTAATGTAATTCTGCTGACCACATGGACTTAAAGTCAGAGGTAATTTAATTCATTACTTTTATTACATACAAGTTGGATAATAAGTATAACATGTAAAAATAGTATTTCCTAAACCTGACCAAATTCGGAAAAGTGTAAAGTTTGGCAGTTTGTCCCAGGAAACTCCCAACACTTCACGTGCACTTCGGAGTCTTTCTCCACAAACTGTCAGGTAACTTGCTCCCTAAAACTGCTGGGGCGCTGACACCCACAGCAGTAAGCTTTAAGCAGTGGAAGGAAACAGGCCCCGGGGATGATTACGTTTCTCACTTTAGCAAGCAGCTGCATACTCGGTAAGAATCTACAGCAATGCGATTGTCAATTTCCATTTACAATACTGCCTTTAGTAGCATCAGACAAATTTGTGATTCCCTTACCCACATGAAAAAGATATGTTATTCAGGTACTTGTTCAGGTTCAGTCAACGTGAATAACCACGAGTTAATGGGCACATCTCATTTGCTGTGAATCTGCATAATTTATTGAAGTAGAGCCACCACAGACTTAAGATTTGGTCAAAAGTTAGAATCAGCATCAATAAATACAGCAGTAATACTCTAAATAATAGTGTGCCTTTATTGGATGCTCTCAAAGAGATTTCCACAAGTTACTTTAGTGTCTAATATAGATCAGATATTGAACTAATGTACATCAGGCCAGAATATAAACTTGTTTCATAAGTATTCTGCTCCATCTCAAATATGCTCGGTTCCTGAACTGAAACAAAACCAGATAAAATCATGCTTAAAACTCAGAAAGCGTACCCTACTTCACTTGAATAAGGTAAAGTTTTCCCACTTTGATATGATGACAAGATCAAGAAAATGTCTATGAAGACATGTTCCTCGACCTCCCGTGCAAACAAGAAGTCCGTGTCTCGTATTACTGCTTGATGAGCTGAATGTCCCGGCCAGTGAAGAGCAGCAGCCCATCACCATTGAACGTTCAAAGTTCTAAAGCCACAAAAACAATTCAAAATAAGCTGAAGAGACACCTGCCACAAAGCCAGGCTTTCTGCAGCCTTAAAAGACCAATCTTTAACAGATGATTACAGAAGATAAACGAACACATACATACACACACACACACAAATACAGAAATTCCATTTTCAAATTGGTAACCGTGGGGAACGTGGAGCTGCAGCAGCTTAAGGGAGTGTCAGCTGCTCTAACGGCACTTTTTACAACACAGCTTGCTAAGGAAGGGAACAAGGTATTGCAAATAAGTCAGCTGCTCATCGTTCGTGGTACATCGGGACACTGCAGAACACTGCTCAAAGAATGCTGAAAAATTACAACAGGTCGCTCTAACAACCACGAGATGGAATAACTTCACTGCATGACACAATTCCTTAGCAGACACTGCTATTAAACTGCAGCACAACCTCCCAAAACAAACCTAAAACTGCCAGGGGATTCTGAAGATTTAATCTTTAAAATCTACAGGGACAAAATTTTCCCTCAAATATGAAGAACCTCAAGTGTGGTTTGTTTGGTTCTCTTTGACTTTAAAGACTTAATGCCTGTATTGCAGTGAGAGTGGGAAATGGCCTACACTTGCTGTCCTATTAGAAAAAATGACCCGAATTCTATTATTGCAGTTACATGTTTATCAAATTTTGACTGAAAATTTTTACTCTTTTTTTCCAGTTCATGGAAATTGTTGATAAAGCAATTACGGGAATTTTAGGTAAGAACCAAGAACAAATGTGATTTGGGAATTTTTATGGGTGAATTTTTCAGCTGAGTAGTAGTTTTCTAATTTTGCAAGTCACAATGTCACCAGACATTTTTTGTAAAGCTAAAGAAACACATCATATGAAGCTGTTATATTCATAGGTTTCCACGTATCTGTCTTTTTTCCCACCCACAAACTTTATCCAGGCTGAGTTTTAAAAACGTTTACATACGTTCAGGATTTCAGAACTCGTTTCAGTGCACTAAGAGAGGTGGTGTGGCAGTTCCAGCAGTGCCGGGCGAGTGCACAGCGCTTGCACAAACCAACTGCTCAGCACATGCCCGAGTTTTTTTTGCAGTTACAGATAAGAGTACTTATTTGTATCCATCACATACAGCGCATACACACGGCCAACTAAATGCGTTCAGGAAATACCACCTGCCCAAGCCACATCTGCTTAAATTTTAATTACATGTTCCTGGTAATTAGGGCACTCAGCTGGCTGGTCTCCAACCTGCCTGATCGGATTTCCTATGGTCTGAACTGACTGCCACAAACCTGCCGATTCCAAAATAAACTTAAAAAATCCAAGCCCAGGACAGGATAAATATTTCTCAGGAGGTTAGAATATGTAAGAGCAACACTGTCATGGTGTAAGCAGCTGGCTACATGCAGCTTAGTGCGGGACAGGATCCAGAACCATTTCAGGCTCTTCAGCAAGGCCTCCAGCAACTGCTCCAGAAAGGAGAACTGTGACATGTCCTTTGTCACATCGCCCATCATTCTCTATACATTCTGGATATTCTAGGCATATTTTTAGCACTGATATTAATTAATGTTAATTATGCAGCAGTCATG